TGGAAAATTTATTTCTCTTCCCAATGGCACCTTATGTACACATTCAGGTCAGGTGTAGCCTTGAAATACGTCAAATTTCTGTGCCTCATCGATGAATTAATTCGCCCTGTTGGATCTATTTTTTTCTGTGCTGTACCTGACCGCGTCGCTTCAAAAGCGCAATTTGGCTTCTGTTACCAACCCCATTTCGATGCGGCGTGATATTCTCACAAGTAGCACAGTGTCACTTCAGTTAGGCATAGACAGGCAGAGTCTCTATTGGCATTCTTTTCCGATGCTTTTATTGAAGTTTGTTTCGAAGCCTTAATTTCACCATTTAATTCATTATGAAAAAAATTTTCAGCTTTTTACCATTTTCATTGAAAGAGGCGTCGGTGTTAGTATAGTTGCAACAATTAACCCATGATTTCATATTCAAAAACTCCTAAGTAATAATGTTTCGATGACATATTCAGTGTTTAAGGCTTCCGTGATTATTCTCAGAACGATAACTTCTTCAGTTTATTGTTAGTTGAAACGTTTATCATTCCGAATAATCGATATACGCTAATTCACAGAAAAACAGCATTTTTAAACTTTCTGAATTTCAGTTTCTTCGGACTAATTTTTGAATTTGAAGGTTTGATGTGATCATTCAATTTTGGAACTGTAAAATCATCGAAGAATGGCTTCTACGCGGGTATCTTCTGAGAGTGTGAATCATCAACTTGAGCAGACATCGGGTAGTTGTACGAATGATATTGTGGTACCACCGTCCTCCTCGTCCATCGCCAATAATGCCCAACCGATCGGATCAACATCAAAAACAAAACAGAATTCCGAACTGAAGACTGCAAAACAGTGGACATATTATATCGAGACACTGAAACGCACTGTGGATTGTATCTATGAAATGTGTCGTAAACAACACAGTGTCATTGGCTGTAAGGTGAAGCTCTTTTCTGAACGTATTTTCATCCATTTTGACCAATTTCAGTGTGCAGAAGACCAATCGAGAATAAGTTGGAAGTGCGCTCATTGAAGCAATTTGTCCTTAGCATGGGAATTGATTCTGTAAAAGAAGGTTCTTCCTCAGGGCCCCATAAGATTTTGTGGCATTCCTTGAAAAATGAGTTGTGTTTCATGCTGTGTCACAGTTATGTAAATCACTTTTATAATGATATTGTCGCGTACATTTTCTCGTTTATTCATGTAGGAAACTTTTAAAAAAATTTAGAAGGATTGACCTATTTAAGACGTTCAAGTTGATACGGCGTTAATTTAGATTTATTGGTGTGATGTTGGAATGCGGTTTATTTTTATTGAATTTTAACTGTATTACCGAAATAATTCGAGATGAGGGAAGTTGCTTGTCGATATTGGTTAAATGAGTGATAAATGTCGTCAAATGTATATGGTTTCCATGTGATGAAATATATTTGTACGTAAGTATAAGTTCGTCGTGAATATATTTCAGGAAGCGCTAATGTATTTATCGAGTTCAGTGCGTGACTTTGAATCTCTCATTGAAACCATCAATGTTGAAGTGGCATGGGAAGTGGAGAGCAGGCTAGTTTCTTGTGTTTGAAATTTAAACGCTATTGTAAAATATCTTTAATTTTGTTGTGTTTTGATTATTAGCATTAATAGACAAGATGTAGTTATTGAATTTGTAATTGATCATATTTTTTATTGAGTTAGAATAAATGATTTTTAGACCACACGCAGTTGCATGGGAGATTCGTAAAACGATGTCACCACCGGGAAACGTCGATATGGTTGGATCGAGTAAAGATGCCGAGACACTCATCAGTATGCTCAATTTGTTAGTTTTCAATTCATTTTAATGTCACAGATTCCAAAATCACTCGAATTGTTTTGATATGCACACTTTCATTTCGCTGCGATTGATTGGAAAAGATATTCGCTATAATTAACGATTCTAAATGTTGCAATCGAAGCGTTTAGTAGAGAAAACGTTCCAATTCTTCCATCTGACGAATGAGCTTGGCGTAAACAAGAATTAATTTATTCTCAGCTTGCATTTATTGCATCTTGCATCTTGCTTTTATTAATATCGCAATATTTCATTAAGATGACCATTCGATGGAAATTCTTACATGAGAAATATGTTTCATAATGCAGGCCTTTTTAAGACTTTCAAGTAGAGTGTTCATTGTCACATTCTTTTTTCCGTGTTTTGTTTTCATCTCTTTGCCATTTTAATTCACTGCAAATAGAATTGGATTACTTTTGCTCTGATGGGTCTTTATCTCTGTTTCATCTACCATGTGGTATATCTCACTGTGAAAGTAATTGTGATCGCATTTTTGATAGAAATTAGTCTAATTGTAAATTGATCGCAAAACCAGAATTGGATGATTTTGAGTCATACGTCATAAGTCATACGAAGTCATAAGTCATTTAAGTCATACGATCTTCATATGATTTTGAAGTGGTAATGGGGTGGATGCGTGCTTATGCGAATTTAGTGCGTACTTCTGAAGCAACGGGTGGTTGTTTTATTACAATTCATAAAATTTCTCATAGCGCCATAGAAGTGCTGACGAGGGTGACGAATCAAAAAGTCGCGCGCACTTATCTTTACCTTCCATTTTTTTGCCATCTTTGGAGTTGATGTTTCTATGAATT